GGATAGTATTTATTTTAAGTAATAACAACTCGGAATAAAATAGGAGTAACGACTTTCCACTTCTTTTTTAAAAAAATGTAGTGAGTAGAAAGTGCAGATAATTGTGTAAAAATGTAATGAGTAAAAGTAAAAAGTACGCTGAAAAATAATTACTCAAGTAAAGTACAGATAACCAAAATTTCTACTTAAGTACAGTAACAAAGTATTTGTACTTAGTTACTTTACAACTCTGATGAAGAGAAAACCTCAGATAGTATTTGTTTAATGAGATTTCCCAGTTGGAAAGAAACAAAAACATTGTTAGCTCACAGGGAAAAAAAGCAAAATTTTAAGACGTTTTTCCTCAAAATAAATTTTTTTTGTTGCTACTGCTCAAAAAATGCATCAAAAAATTTTTAGGATTATATTTCAGACAGTGCATTCAAATGATAAGGCATTAATTAATTATATTTTGACAAATCAAAACCCTATATCTGCCCGTTTCTCCACATTCCACTTTTGGACTTAATCCTCGTTTCCATGTGACGGCTCACAATATGAAATCATTTATTCTGACAGGCTGCATTTCTGGAAGCTCTGCAGCTTCATGGCAGCTGTTTGAAATCCAGTATCTGAAAATCCAATCAGCTGAACAAAAGGACAAGTCGAGCTTTTTGATGGAGGCTGATAACAGGAAGGTTAGAGAGACACAGTAACAGAGAGAGAGGAGGGATCGAACAGACTCAGGGTTTAATCAGCTCTGATTTTAGAAAAGGCTGCTTGTCTCTGACTGTAATAACCTGATTAAAATTAGTTTTAATTATATTTTAGAGTCAGTTTAAATTTATTGTAAGTTTTTGTGTGTGCGTGCAGCTGACGGGGATCGGCCAGCCCACTAAATCCACCTGGTATCGGACCATGCACGGATCCACCATCACGTTCAGCTGCGACAAAGCGCTGGTGGTAAGAGACCCCACAGATACCCTAATACCCTGCTCCGAACAGAGACTCTGCCCTGCCGGCTCACCGATGCTTCCGTGTGTTCAGGGAGACGTGTTGATTAATGAAGATGCAGCCAGGCTTGTGGAGCGCTTCATGCCCTTCAAGGAGGGCCTGGGCTTCGGCATCGACCAGCTGCTGGAGCCGCCCGGACTGGGAGCCTTCTGCGACAGCGTTGAGAACAAAACCACCTTCGTCAGTAACGACTGAGACAATGCTCTGGCTATGGGAGGCCTTTTTAACATAAAATCAGGTTCACCATGCTTGCATCCCTGATGTGGGTTTATGACTAAACATTATTTTTATTAACAGTGTTCCAGCAGATCCTTAAAAAGTCTTAAAAGGCATCAATCCAAAAATAAGGAATCGTCTTAAATCAATCTTTCAAACGTCTTAAAAATGTTAACACCTTGTAGCTAAGCAGGATGATTCTAATTCATCTCAAATTTAAAAATCATTAGTAACCTCTATTTATTTTTTAAATAATTTACCAAATACCTATTGCAGCAAGTTGTTTTGTGTTAAAATAAGCTTTTATTTTCTGTATTATTTATTGTAAAGTTGATCTTAGATTTCATTTTAAATAGCATTAAAGAGGTCTTTAAAAAGCCTTAAAGGGATCCAGGATTAGTTGTAACATTAGATTTTATTTGATAAACATATATTTTAACTGTAAAATAAAGACTGTAAAAATACTGTAGGATGTCCAGTTTTTATCATTTTTAAAAATATATTTTAACACGGACGGAGCCATTTTATTTCCACACAAAGCATTCTGGGTAAATGATGACGTGGATAGGTCCTCGGTGCGAGGCTGCTAGCGAGCTATATCCACCCTGAAGGTTAATCTTGGACAATATCTGATGATCGACTCTTTTAAATGAAACCAGAGAGCGTTGACAGAGAGGAGAAGGTAGAAATGACTCAGCCTGGAACTGAAAATATGGATGGAGGACAACAGGTTAGCTTGTTTGTCGCGCTAGCGCTGAGCTAATACATATAAGGCAATATAGTGTCGGCGCTAGCGCAAAGGCTAACAGGTTAATCTGAGGTTGTTCTTCCATGAAGCAGCTCTGTTGTCCTCCATCCATATTTTCAGTTGCAGGCTGAGTCATTTCTACCTTCTCCTCTCTGTCAACGCTCTCTGGTTTCATTTAAAAGAGTCGATCATCAGATATTGTCCAAGATTAACCTTCAGGGTGGATATAGCTCGCTAGCAGCCTCGCACCGAGGACCTATCCACGTCATCATTTACCCAGAATGCTTTGTGTGGAAATAAAATGGCTCCGTCCGTGTTAAAATATATTTTTTAATTTACAAAACTAAACAGCCTACAGTATTTTTACAGTCTTTAYTTTACAGTTAAAATATATGTTTATCAAACCAAGTCTATTGTTACAACTAATCATGGATCCCTTTAACTTGAACTTGCATTAAGCTGTAGGAACCTTGATCCTGCTGAATCAAAACTTGACAGGTTTATGCAGCATTTTGTCTGAAAGTTGATGAAACAGTTCAGCCTTTTATGAACCTGGTGGTCAGTGGTCGTCAGAGTCAGATCAGTCCAACTAAAGATGATTTTTATCTCAATGTGAATTAAGAAGCAGATAATTTATTGTCTCATTGCAGCCATTCAAATTTATGCAGGCAGCTGTGTGGACAGCTAAAGTGCAGGGGGGGCTTACGCCCAATTTCTTATTTCAGATATCAAAAAATGTTATTTTGACTCGTCATAATTACATTTGAGATATCCTGAATTGTTTTTCTGTCAGAATGTAATTACAGATGAAGCTGATTTTGTGTTAAAATGGCCTGCCATACACAGTCCAAACACCATCACTATGTGAATCCATGAAAATGATCTGGGTTTGAAACGTTTCAGGGACGCTGTGGAAACTGTTTTGTTCCTCCGCCCTGCGCCATCAGACAGATCGACACGGTCAGAACTGAGAAATCAACACGTTGATTGTTTGTTTGCACAGAAGTTGACGTTTATTTTAAATCCAACCAGGGGAGGAAAACTCCTTGTCTCAGGCGTAACTCCAGGTACAGACCCAGATATACCAGCTGGGGCATCCCGGACGATCGCTTCAGTGTGATGGGCTGCATGAGAGTCTGTCAGTATTCTTCCTGGGTTCAGAAGTGCTGCAAAAACCACTACGGCAGGGACTGCCAAGGTGAGCGCCGCCACGTTTCCTCCACGAACGTGGCTGAAGCGTTTGGTTTAAAACATGTCGTTGTGTTTCAGTGTGTCCGGGGGGCGTTGAGGACCCCTGCGGCAGCCACGGAGACTGTGACGACGGCGTTACCGGATCAGGACTCTGCAGGTGCCACAAAGGATTCAAAGGGAAATCCTGCGAACTCTGCGTGAGCGGATACTACGGGGCCAACTGCACAGGTACTCAGAGTCCACATCAGTCCCAGCTCAGATCTGAAGGGAGTTTAGGTGATGAGGAGAGATTCAAGTTATAGATTAATGAATGAATCTAAAGTTGATTGATCTTATCAATCGACTAACGATTAATTGATAAGCTAACATTTTCTTTAAAAAAAACTGACATTTCTCTTGAATCAAAGGTTTTTTTATAACATTAAGGACTATTTTTTTACATGCTAAATTTAAAAAACATACAGTAATATATTTTATAAAATTTATTGTGTCAGCTGTGTTAAACACTGACTGAATGAACAGAAAAATGTGGATTTCTCTCACGTTATTAAACTTGAATATATTTATAAATAAAACAAAACAGGAATCTGTTAAGATGCTAGATGAAAAAAAAAAGAAAGAATAAAATAAGTAAAACACTTAATCCACCCTGAAGATGAAAAAACTATCATTTAAACACAGGGTAATATTTTAAGATAAAGATTAACTCAAAAATTAACTATATTCTAATAAAATATCCCTGAAAGATGTGAGATACAAAAGAGCACTGAAACTGTTTGTTTACATTCCCTCTGGTTCTATCTGAGCTGCTCACCATCAGTTACTGTTCATTTGATTTGTTCACTGCCGTCACACAGATTAGATTAACTTCAAGTCAATTATTTGGAGCGACTGTACCTTTTTTTGTTTTTCTTTTCTTTCACACGAGTTAAACTCGACAATAAGCTAACGTTAGCCACAGTTAGCTTACAGTTAGCATCATACTGCTGGATGGTCCGGTACAGCCTTCGGTACTTTTCTTTCCAGTTTGGTGTAGTCCATTATTATTGTTGTGTCGCAAATACAACTAAACAAGATTTGCACGTTTAATTGCCTATATGCCACGGTCATTAATGATGTATTTCCGGTAAAATTCTTGCCACACACATCCCTTCCACTTCCTGCTTACTGCTTTGTTTATAGCGTTAGCTCCTAGAATTAGTCCGTGAAAAAGTCACAAAAGTTAAAGCATCTGTGAGCTACTGGTATAAAACATGAGTTCTGTTGTGTGTCGTTGTGTCCACTAACCAGCAGGTACGATCGAGTAGTTCGTTTTTATCCATTTTCCTTTTGATGAGGAGGAAAGGTGACAGCAGAGGATCATAGCATTACAGGAAAAACTTAGCTACAAAAGCTCACGCTCGTGTTTGTAATCGGCATTTTTACCCTGAGGATATTCAAGAGTCAGCATCAGAAATGAGAAGATGGAGGTTACAAAAGGGAAATGTATATTTATCCCCTTTTACTGCCAAGACGAGAGAGGAAAGACCTCCTCACAGCTAGCAGGAAGCTAACACAGCAGCTGGTACAAAGGTAGGTGTGTGTGTGTGTGTGTGTGTGTGTGTGTGTTTGTGTGTGTGCGCACGCGTTTGTGTTATACAGATTATGAAATGTTTTTATGCGACTTTGTCATGAGTTTTATGCAAAAGTAAAACCTTGTTAGAGTGTATATTACAGTGTAAACAAAACCCGAGCGCCGAGCGCGCCCCCTCCTCCCCCCGAGCACCAAGAGCAGCAGAACCTCCGCCTGATAATCATTACGTTTTCAGTTCACTAACGTCGGGGAAAACGATCCAAACCATACAAGTAGCCCATCGATTTAAAGCCCAGACTCTGCTCTTTCCAACAATATAAGTGTCACAGCTCTACGTGAAAAATTCACAGAACAAGCAGCCAAGGAAAAGTGAAAAAGGCTAAATTCTGGAACCATAAACACAAACGTCTTTCCTTTGTTTTTGTCTTTAATCCACTTTGGAGTGATTTTTTTCCTACTGGGCTGGTCCTGTACGTCTCCTGTGTTAATATTGGTACATGTAATATGATAATTCTGTACTGTGGAGATCGTTAAGAGTCGTTGTCGGGTGAAAAAATCTTTCACTAACACTGTGTTGAACGTGAACCGGAAGTAATCGGAGTGGCATCACGTGAAGGACCAGATGTCCGTGGCATATAGGTTATTACGACACTGCGCTCTGCGAAGCTCAACAGGGCCGGGGTAGAGAAGGCCAGACTGAGAGCAGCTGCACCTTCTACTGGATGAAAGCAAAATTTCACTGAAATCAGATTTAAACTGATGTTTTCAATTAACTGAATGGAAGAAATTTTTATCCAATAAACCATTATTTGACACTTAATCGTAAGTCGATGAAGTGTTAGCATCCCTAGTGATGAGGAGTGATGGATGACCTTCCTGTGACCTTGGTGAGGTCGACGCCTCGCTCTGTTTTGTCACACAGCTTGAGGTCATCACCTGCAGGTGGCGCTCCACCGCCCCTCGCTGCTCAATAGCCTGATGAAGACCGGCTCATCAGGAGCTAAAACCCTCTCAGTGCGTCAGTGCAGATTTCATCTGGTGACTTTTTAACCGACCCTCCAAAATAAAACCTGATTTGAGCCGAGGATCTCAGCCCCGGAGGCTCTCCAGTAGTCTGTCACTATAGCAACTCTCTGCTCCCAGCTCTGAACAGAACCGTCAGCTGTTTTCACTCAGAAGCTCAGCTAACCTGGTTAAAAACACAAAACAGCTGCTGATTGTTGTCCCTTCTCCTGAAGCGTCTCAGAAATCCAAACATCACCTGATGATCTCCCTGAACCTTGTACCTGTAGCTCTACCCTGCCTGGTTTTAATGATTCAGCCTAGAAAAGTCCCGAAACCTTTAGATCCAGCCACTAAACCAGAGGCCACAGCTGCAGGAAGTCTTTGTGCCTGGTAGAACTCTGCAGCAGAGGGTTTATATCTGTCTGCTCCTCAGCCTGCAGCTGTGGGATGGGAAGCTGTGACGATGGCGTGGACGGCACCGGTCGGTGTGTCTGTAAGCCGGGCTGGGAAGGGGATGGCTGCCAGAACAAGATCGGTGAGTTTTTCCTCTAGAACACCATCCAACCTGTGCGGTTTCTTCCTCTAACATGATGAATGCACCGTGTGTCCAGGCTCGGTCCCACCGGAGTGCCGGCAGTGCCACGCTCAGGCCATGTGTGTGTCACGGGTCGGCTGTTTGTGTAAACCTGGGTTCGAGGGCAACGGGACTTTCTGCAGCCCGGCACCGCGTGAGTGTCCTTCAGTACCGGGTCTCAGTGTTCATGCAGGGTCTAAAAAAGTAAAAAAAAAAAAAAAGTCTCAAATTTGAAAATCAAAATTTTAGGGCTAAAAAAATATTAAAAACACAGATTTTCATCCAAGGTCTTAAATTTAATTTTGTCAAGTCTTAATTCTTTTACTTTCGATCATTCCTGAGAAGCGTTGGCTCCATAAATAAACAGAGTAAAGCTCCGTAATCAGAGGTTGAAGTGCTAAGTTTGCTACTGGTCTTTGTACACGGTAAAGGGATCCATGATCAGTTGTAACATTAGACTTTATTTGATAAACATAAATTTTAACTGTAAAATAAAGACTAAAAATACTGTAGGATGTTTAGTTTTTATCATTTTTAAAAATATATTTTAACACGAACGAGGCCATTTTTTTTCCACACAAAGCATTCTGGGTAAATGATGACGTGGATAGGTCCTCGGTGCGAGGCTGCTAGCGAGCTATATCCACCCTGAAGGTTAATCTTGGACAATATCTGATGATCGACTCTTTTAAATGAAACCAGAGAGCGTTGACAGAGAGGAGAAGGTAGAAATGACTCAGCCTGGAACTGAAAATATGGATGGAGGACAACAGAGCTGCTTCATGGAAGAACAACCTCAGCTTAGCTTGTTAGCTTTAGCGTTAGCGCTGACGCTATATTACCTTATATGTATTAGCTTGGCGCTAGCGCGACAAACAAGCTAAACTGAGGTCCTCCATCCATATTTTCAGTTGCAGACTGAGTCATTTTTGTGTTCCCCTCTCTGTCATGTGGATGGAGGACCTCAGTGACGAGAGGAGAATGTGTAGCGTCGGGGCTAATGCTAAAGCTAACAGGCTAAGCTGAGGTTGTTCTTCCATGAAGCAGCTCTGTTGTCCTCCATCCATATCTTCAGTTCCAGGCTGAGTCATTTCTACCTTCTCCTCTCTGTCAACGCTCTCTGGTTTCATTTAAAAGAGTCGATCATCAGATATTGTCCAAGATTAACCTTCAGGGTGGATATAGCTCGCTAGCAGCCTCGCACCGAGGACCTATCCACGTCATCATTTACCCAGAATGCTTTGTGTGGAAATAAAATGGCCCCGTCTGTGTTAAAATATATTTTTAAAAATTTACAAAACTAAACATCCTACAGTATTTTTACAGTCTTTATTTTACAGTTAAAATATATGTTTATTAAATAAAGTCTAATGTTACAACTAATCATGAATCCTATTAAACTACAAATCCTGTGATAACTGCAGACAAAAGATGGCACAGTTTACTTCCATGTTTTAGACCTCTTTTCTGCTACAACCCCCTTCATACAGTGACTTGTTCACCCACCCAAAAAACAAAAAGTTCAGTCATGTCCACTGCTTGTGGTTTGAACATGGGGAAAGTGTGTTTTCAATGAGACTTGACTGATATCAGTGATTTTTACACTGTTGGAAACAGTTCACAGCAGAATATGAAGGTCTCATAGATATGACTGTTTCATTAAAATAATTGTGTTCTTGTATTAAAATTAAATATTTTTAATAGATAAATTGATAGCAATAAAAGGTTTGTATGTTAAAATTTCTGGGACCATTTGAATGTTTATATTAATGTGTTGGTTTGGTCCCAAATGTCATTCCTAATGTTCTGAAAAAGTCTTGAAAAGGTCTTAAATTTAACTTAGTGAAAGCTGCATGAACCCTGGGGTCTGAAATCCTCAACAGAACCGAACCTGAAGCCAGCAGGTCCAGCAGAACAGAAACATTTCAGCTCTGAAAAGCAGCACTGCAGATAAAACTCTGCCCTTCAGAGCCTGATAACGTTTCTGTTGGGATCACTCTGACCCGGCTGAGGTTCTGATAAGCAACCAGACGAGTTTGTTTTTAATATTTGAGACGCAGCTGCTGCAGTTTGAAGGCAGATGTTTTTTATTCGGACCTGCAGCTCCTGATCTCTGCTCCGAGTACAACGGCGGCTGTCACCTGAACGCAGACTGCAACCAGACAGGGCTGCTGGTCAACTGCACCTGTCGCAGCGGGTACCGCGGCGACGGCTTCTCCTGCGAGCCCATCAACAGGTGGGCGTGGCCACTCGCTCCGACTCAAACGGCGGACCTCTGAAGAATCTCTGGTTGGGTCGATGTGACGTCAAACTGCTGTTTCTGTGTTCAGGTGTGTTGAAGAGCAGAACGGCGGCTGCAGCGACTTCGCCTCCTGCAAGTTCACCGGTCCGGTGAGTGAAACTTCCAACTTCCTGTTTGTGAAACCTGCAACTTCCTGTTTGTGAAACTTCAAATTTCCTGTTTGTGAAACCTGCAACTTCCTGTTTGTGATACCTCAAAGTTCCTGTTTGTGATACCTCCAACTTCCTGTTTGTGATACCTCCAACTTCCTGTTTGTGAAGCCTCCAACTTCCTGTTTGTGATACCTCCAACTTCCTGTTTGTGATACCTCCAATTTCCTGTTTGTGAAACTCCAACTTCCTGTTTGTGATACCTCCTTCAGAACGAGCGTGAGTGTGAGTGCCTGCTGGGGTACGTGGGAAACGGAGTCCAGTGTCTGGAGAAGGTGGTGCCCCCCGTGGACCGCTGCCTGCTAGACAACGGAGGCTGCGACCCCGTGGCCACCTGCAAGGACCTCCATTTCCACGGTAACGCACCTGCATTGGCTTCTGTTACCATGGTGACAGATGATATTGTTTGGTTTTCAGTCCACCATACACCTGGAGCTCATTAAAGGTTAGTGTTTCCCACCTGTGAAGCTGTTGGAGGGAGGGGGCTGGTCTAACAGAGACCAGGTGCTCCTGAGAGGGCGGGTCTAACGGGGACCAGGTGCTCCTGAGGGGGTGGGTCTAACGGGGACCAGGTGCTCCTGAGGGGGTGGGTCTAACGGAGACCAGGTGCTCCTGAGGGGGTGGGTCTAACAGGGACCAGGTGCTCCTGAGGGGGTTGGTCTAACGGGGACCAGGTGCTCCTCAGGTGTGGTTTTTATCTCTAATCTGCCTCTTCTTCCTCAGCCAACACAGCCGGAGTGTTCCACCTGCGCTCACAGGAGGGGAGGTACAAGATGAACTTCAGTCAGGCCGGCGCCGCCTGCCAGGATGAGGGCGCCATGCTGGCTACCTTCAAACAGATGGGCGACGCCCAGCAGGTGAACGAAAGGTGTTGGTTTCCATGGAAACATCAACAAACGTCTCTTCTTTAAGCTGTTAACAAACCAACATCAGCTGAAGTCTTGCTGTTCCTCTGCTCCCTGCAGCTCGGGATGCACCTGTGTGTCGCCGGCTGGATGGAGGGCGGGAAGGTGGGCTATCCGACCCGCTTCCCCTCAGCCAGGTGTGGAGAAAACCACGTGGGCCTGGTGATGTACAAAGAACCTGTGGACCAGAGCAGCGAGTACGACGCCTACTGCTACAGGCTCAGAGGTACAGTCTTCTGCTTCAGCTTGGACTGGTTCAGTTTGGACTGGGTTCATTTTGGACTGGGTTCAGTTTGGACTGGGTCAGCTTGGACTGGTTCAGTTTGGACTGGGTCAGTTTGGACTGGGTTCAGTTTGGACTGGGTCAGCTTGGACTGGTTCAGTTTGGACTGGGTTCAGTTTGGACTGGGTCAGTTTGGACTGGGTCAGTTTGGACTGGGTTCAGTTTGGACTGGGTCAGTTTGGACTGGGTCAGTTTGGACTGGGTTCAGTTTGGACTGGTTCAGTTTGGACT